GCAGCACCAGGTATGGGCAACAATACATTGATCAGAATGGCAGCACCAGGAGAGGGCATACCATGAATTGATCAAAATAGCAGCACCAGGAGTGGGCAAACGATACATTGATGAAAATAGCAGCACCAGGAGTGGGCAAACGATACATTGATCAGAATGACAGCAGCAGTTTGGGGAAAACAATACATTGATCAGAATTGCAGCACCATGGAGTTTGCATACAAAGGATTGATAAGAAAGGCAGCACCAGGAGTTAGCATACAATACATTGATCATAATGGCAGCACCAGGAGTGGGCATACAATGGATTGATCAGAATGGCAGCACCAGTAGTGGATATACAATAGATTGATCTTAATGGCAGCACTATGAAGGAGTTTGCATACAAAGGATTGATCAGAATGGCAGCACCAGGAGTATGGATTGATCAGAATGGCAGCACCAGGAGTGGATATACAATGGATTGATCAGAATGGCAGCACCAGGAGTGGACATACAGCGGATTGATCTGAATGGCAGCACCATGAAGGAGTTGGCATAAAAAGGATTGATCAGAATGGCAGCACCAGGAGTATGGATGGATCAGAATGGCAGCACCATGAGCGGGCATACAATGTATTGATCAGGCTCCACAAACGGTCCTAAATTTTTCTGATGACATAGTGGTGCTGGCATAAATTACAGTGCCTATAAAAAATGACCACTTGTTTGAAACAGGAAGATGATCAAGTATGCATTGGGATCAGCTTGGACAAAACTAAAATTATGAGTGTCCAACGTTACGTCCCGTTATGTGAACAGACAGTCGCAGAAATGGATAAAATGACGTACCGACACAACAGGCCACTGTAGAAGCAAAGGGAGATTGGAGGGGTTGTCCTTGTAGATATGATGAACAAAAAAAAGCAAGAGAAATGCTATCATTTCGGATCAAACAAAAGAAGGGAAATTATGGAAGATAGGAGCTTACTAAAGTCAAAGCAGTAGTATAATGGGCGCTGACGACGGTTCTCGAAGACCTGAACATGAATATGACAGTGGTCCAGTCTAGAAAGTACCATGATGCCCTAAAATACCGGTATACAAAAAACATCATTATAGCTGAAACTGCCAATATTAGGAAAAACTCATTTCATGAGAAGTAATGCCCAGTAATTACTGGGAACAACAGGACAGTGGTGGATGTGAGAGAGCGAGAGAGAGAGTTGGAGTACCTTGGGAGCAAATCACAGTAGATGTTACTGTGAAATGACGAAACGTTTGAGTACATTGGGATTGTGACCGACAAATAAAATCAATGGAAGGATCAACAAGGTAAATCAAACATTTGGAATGTTGACTTCCGCATAGAGAAAAAGCAACTTGAAGTTCCATTTCCCTGTCTTATTTTTAAATTAATGTCTTGGGTGTTCTTAGTTATGGACAAAAATGCTGGGAAAACAACTACCATATCAGAACGGAAGCTATATATTTTTTTCGACCAGGCGACTACGCAAGATCCATTTAATCTTATGGCCAATGTCAATGAAGAAATGAGACCGGGTGGCACTACCTAGCTACGCCACTGCACATATTAATAATAATAATAATAATAACGTTTATTTGAAAAACACGCTTCTTCCCCAAGAGCTCGAAGCGCAGTACAAAGTCAACCATATTTAAAAAGAGAAATGAAGAAAAAATCAATAATTACCACATTTAAAAACAAACGCAACACTACAAAAATTACATACGAGCATACCAAGTCAAAGTCGTTCATCCCTTTCAACCATAAAAAACACAAGCCAATATACATTAACTGGAAAAAGTGGTATACAACATCACTAGTCAATAGTTTTTTAAGTGGACGACATAGTGAGGCAGGACCTTAACAAACACGTTCATATTTATATGCGTATCCCAGCCGCCATTTTCCCTAACCCCATTACTTCTCGTGCAGGGTGGCCATCCGTCCCGATAGATCAGGACCGTCATCGTTATGGACCTTCTTGTAATTATATTAAATAATTGTTTTTTTTTCTTCATTTCTACACCCCCATCTCAGAGTGTCCCGACGAGGTCCCAGCTAGATATGGCAACCCTACCCACACATCATGTCGCCTAAAAACGTTATTGAAACCGCTATCTCCCCTCCAATTAATTGCCACCCCTTCTCCCGCAGAAACGTAAATAATTAATAATAAAAAAATAAAATAAAATACTCCTTTACCACTAATGGAGCTAGCTAAGATAACCTTATCAATTAAAATTTTCAAGTGAAGAAAACCAGTTCAAAGGGACCATTACAATATTGTTGATCCATTATTTGTATCCTATAATCCCTGTAAAAAGGGGGTGGGGGAGGTTCGTTGGGGTATCACTCGAGGTCGTTTCCCTGTTTCTCCCCCACTTGTCCCTGTTGTATGCAAATGTTTGGGACCGGTTGAAGGTCAAGGCCGTGCGTTGTGGTCCTCCCATCGTTTCTTCTGTCTTTCTTCTTTTCTTTTTTTTACTCCAGGGTATCTTTTATTATAGCTATTGCCATGCCCCTACGACCCAGAGTGCTGGCCAAACGATTTCATTTTTTTACTCCAGGGTATCTTTTATTATAGCTATTGCCATGCCCCTACGACCCAGAGTGCTGGCCAAAGGATTTCATTTTTCTTTTTGTCAACGGAATCACCTTTTCTGGGGTACTTTCATTATGTCATGAGGGCCTCTGTGTCCTTACACGTTGATTGTGCTAGCACATATTTTTACTGTCCTGGCACTGATATTCACTGTGCTAGCACTGATATTGATTGTGCTAGCACTGATATTAACTGTGCTAGCATTGATATTAACTGTGCTCGCACTGATATTGATTGTGCTAGCAATGATATCGATTTTGCTAGCACTGAAATTGATTGTGCTAGGACTGATATTAACTGGGCTAGCACTGATATTAACTGTGCTAGCACTGATATTGATTGTGCTGTGACTGCTGTGAGCTTGGGTTGAGTATTTTAGGTTTTTGATCCTTGAACTGAAATTATTGCCTGTAGGTATTTGAAGCTTGTGACAGCTTTCACCTGTTTGATAACCCCCGGCACTGTTGATTATTGTTTGGACTTGTCTACTTTTGTTTCCATACCACAAGCTTGTGAGAAAAGTGCACTACATGGATCTCAACAGAAAAACCTTCAATGCTGACTATCTCTTCACTCTCTAATGTATCCATCATGAAGAGAGTATGGTGTCAAATGGCAAGGATAATATTTCTTTAAGAGTGCCTTTAAAAGTTGAATGCCATACCCTATGGGAAGCTTGAAGTTGTGATATTGGAAGTATTGGTATTGCTGGTACATGTGATAGATGATTTCAGATAGAATACTTTTTGTGTTGTTTTCTCAGTCCTAAATCCAGAATGTTCTTCTGCTTTGATAATTTATGATTGGTATTTTCAATGACTTTCTTTTTAGTTGTTCTTGAATGACTGATAAGGTCTGGCCCAACTGCTACTAAATTAATGTATATATGGATATATCAGGGTTATAATTCATTAAATTAAATTCTTTTAAAAAAGGAATTGTAACTTTTGAACCAAAAAAACTGAAATTAAATATAATGTGTTGAGCTTATGATCTAATGTTATGTTGTAATATTTTCAATTGATTGGTTTAATTTATTCAATTGATAACTTCACAGATTACCTTTATTCCTATCAAGAGGTTCTTACCCTCTTTTTTTTATCACTTTGGTCCAAGAGATCTTGATTCAGCCCCTCACCCACAATAAGAACCCCTGGCCTGTAAAACAATGATAATATCAACACCCCAAAAAGTCAACATTTCACTAGAAATATTTTACTAACAATTTTGCAAATAACTTACAATGTTAGCATTCATTCTCTTAGTTCCAAGAACAGGGGATGAGGGCTGGCTTTTTTATAACTCCTTGTCTTTATGATTTTATTTCCCATGTGTCTGCATTGACATTGAGGAAGACAGGTCCATTAGAGGATTTGAGTAGTTCCCAGTGTTGTACTGTATGTGTCTTGAAAGGTTTTTTTTTGGATGACAAGGAGGAAATTCTCTGTGTGCTATTATAATGGGAGAGCCTCTGTCCTAGCTTACCAGGATGAGCTTTATCATTGTTTTATCTGTGCACTAATCAAAACTAATAAGGGCGTGGATCCTGAAGGTTTCAACTGTAAAGGCTTTTTAAAAAAAAATGTATGCTTGTTAGCAGTCTTTATAATCTGTGACACCACATTATACTTTGAATTCAAATTTACACTACTAACTGCATTCTATTTGGCCTATATATATATATAGGGCCGGAATATCCCATAGGGTCAACCTAAGCCATGGCCTAAGGAGCATCAGTCAGAGCGCATATTAAATATATATATATATTTATAAGCCTCGGACACTGCAGATTCTAGAGAAAATTTCTTCCTTGAAGCTATGATGAACTCACTAATCATTAAACTTTATTTTGCTATCACTTTTCACTCATTTTACTTCGTAGATCAGATAAGCAAGCCACAAACAATTTTTGTACTTAAAAAAAGTGCATAAAGCTTTAAAATATTTTTTTTAAAAATGTTTGAGCTAATGCCTTAATCAGTACAGAAAAAACAAATATGGCATGAATAATAATTTAAACTAAATTTTACATAATATTTATATTATTACCTATTAAAATAGTCAAAGTTAGGAAGGAGAGGGGTGGGCGCAAAAACAAAGAACAGTAAATCAGAACCTAACATGTTTCACACTTATCTCTCTTGTCTTCCTTATAGAGCAATGCCTTGAAGCAACCAAACAAGGATGATTGTCTTGAAAATATGTCTGTTGTTATTATATATTTTCTTTCTTTCTTTGAAACCACTACTACATGCTATTATTCTCAAACGTTTGAATGGTGATCTATGTTATAAAAAGACAATGGCAATGTTTTCATCCTTTAAATATTTCAGCTCTGATATTATTATTATTTTTTTTTTGTGGTGTTTTTTCCCTTCTCTTTTAGATGTGTTATGATAATGGCGATAACGTTGAAGCTACCCTAGTATTACACCATGGATACAACAGGATCTCATGCGAATCTGGCTTCTAGTGGAAGCATTAGATCGGTGAGACCAGTTGCTAGCATACAACGTAGTTCCAAGAAGACTCGCACTAAAAACAGGGGCAGTCAGACTTGTAGTTCAGATGATGATGACCTGCACTCCGATGACAACCTGCGGCCATATGAAGAAGTGAAAGTTGCACATCATGACAAAAAATTGGCCGGGCTGGGTAAGTTACATTCACATTTGTTTAGGCTGTGAATTGACTGTGTCTGAATTATTCTGAATAAAATTTGGGAACAAGGGTGAGCAAGGGGCTTGAAGTGGACTTCTCTCACCAGACAATAGAATTAATATTGCCAATAGGGAAAGAAAGAGAGGTTAAAAGTAAGTCCACAGAGATTGGCTGTAATAAGGAGGGGGTGGAGGAAAGATGCAACAAGTGAAGATAAACATGTCATTCATGCCATGTGGTCTCGAGGTCACATTTATATGTGTTATTGGTTGTTTGCTTGCTGAAGAAGGTTTGTTGCCGACACGTTCATTGTTTTGTTAGGTCCTTTTTTGTTATGTTTTCCCATACTTGTTTCACATACTTCCTTCTACTTTAACTGGTTGCATTTTCTCCCCACCTTATTATTAAAAAAAAATAACAGATTGAGAAGACAATGTGAAATGAACATGGGTTTCAAGGTAAGTAATAAAAATCACAAGAACGTGAGAAAATACACTAAACGACTTACCTACTTCCAGTATAGTTGGTGGTATCCAGCACTCAGCAAATAAAATATAGTGGCACTGTGATTGAACTTGCTCTTTCAAACAACTTTGATTAGGCCTTTTGTGAGAATACCATTTTTATATAAATTTGTACACAATTATTTTCAGGTCTAACCCCTGATGAAAACACTGTCACGCCAATCATGTCTTCTAATGCAACTACCTGCAAGCAAAACATGAGATCAGCTGCTAGAGCATATGGCTATGCTTCAGATGAGGAGGCAGAAGCAAGGGTCCCGTTGCAGGGCAGACCCACCATCTGCCAGCAGCACAGACAAGCACTGCAACATCCTCAGCATGAGCATGTCGTGTATGATCCACCCTGGGACCATATTAACTTTGACCATATGAGAACAGCACACAGAACAGCACAGACTTCAGAGAGTGATGAAGACAACAGACACACTTTACAGAGATCCAGTCAAGCAGGTATGTCATTGATTTACATACACTAATCCGGCTGGCATAAGACTGAAAAGATTAATACTTGTAGATTAGAGATTTGAATGTCACTGATACAAGGAATTAACCCAAGAAGGATTTTATAAGTTTTATATTATTGACTGGTCAGATCATGACTTTGCTCTGTTTATTCTGTGCCAGCCTCTACAGCAGTTAGTAGCCTAAAATATGTTCATTTTCAGGCTTGGAAACAACATGAGATTTTCATGATTTGAAATAATAAATCATTCAGAAACAAATTTCTATTAAATAATTATTTTAATTTTTTTTTTGCATTTAGTCATTTCGTACCTAGGGATATAATTTTAAAAGTTTCTTGTCTTTGAATAGACAAAATTCTTCATAATCTTCTGGTGTTCAACAAATTAAAATTGTTTATTGTCTTTCACGTATTCCACATCATTGAAATATTCAAGTTTCTGTAACTAAAACTTTTTAATTGAGTTTGATATCTTAGAAACATGAAATCTGGTTAACATCTGGCACCTGTGGGGATTGTGGGTATCTGCTGTATTCTAGATGACAATTAGCTATTTCCATTGCATGTAGAGTATTCATGTTATATCACATTCTTGTTTGAGGAGGAAGGGGCAAAAGGATTACCAGATGGTGAATAAAAGATGATATGCGAGTCAGCTTTTAACTAGCCCAGAGAAAACCTTATAGAATTAGTTGTATGATAATTGAGGAAAAGGTTGACTTATAACTACCACATAGAAAATCATTTCTATAATATGTATAATTTTGAGTTAACTAATGCTCAGTATTTGAACGTATTCTGTGACAAGTTAAAATTATCTTTGATTTACTTCAAAATTGTTAAATTGTTTTGCCTTTCAAGCTCCTACATATTTTATAATACTTTTATCTTTAATAGAGGGAAGATTTATAAAAAAAATAATTAATGCATGTCCACATTTAGTTAGGAAAACTCAAGAGAGAGAGAGAAAGCAAATACTGTATTATGTGTATGGAGATAATGATGTATTTATGGAGATATGGAAAAGAGTGTTTAAATGCTAACTTAATATTTCATTGATGATTTATTTGATACTCTATCAAAAATGGGAGAGCATACAATATAATTATTGGAGGATCCAGGTATTGCAATTGTAAACCCAGTTAGAACAACTTAAATTTTTGTCTCAGTGCACGGCACATATGGTGAGTCACTATAAGGTTGGGATATAAAAGATTATGAAGGCATGAAGTACTTTCATTATTTACCTAACAGAACTATAACAATATAAATTATTTTTCAACTTTCAGGAACTTTGCCTATGCCACCTCCCACATTTCCCCCTCCACCGCCACCACCTATTGAGGACATTCCACAGCGAAGCCCCTTGCCCACTCGGCAGCGTTCCTTTGGTCCTTCTGTCAGAGGCAATTATTCAGATGCTGACTTCCGTCGGCAACAAAACTTTTCAGATGGAGAACATGAACAGCCTATGGAGAATCCTTACATGGTGCAAAATGCTATGGGTGCTGCTTACAGCATGGGTGAGTTTTACAAACTCTTTATAGTTTGTATGGTTGAGTCTTAGTACTTTATAGTTTGTTTGGTTGAGTATTACTACTTTATAGTTTGTTTGGTTGAGTATTACTACTTTATAGTTTTTATGTTGGAGTCTTACTACTTTATAGTTTTTATGTTGGAGTCTTACTACTTTATAGTTTGTATGGTTAAGTCTTACTACTTTATAGTTTGTATGTTGGAGTCTTACTACTTTATAGCTTGTATGGTGGAGTCTTACTACTTTATAGTTTGTATGGTGGAATCTTACTACTTTATAGTTTGTATGGTGGAGTCTTACTTCTTAATATATTTTTTTTTGGTTATAACTCAGAACTTTATAGTTGATATGGGTTTCTTACTAGTTGATAGTTTGTAATGGTCGAATCTTTATAGTTAGTTGGTATGGGTGTCTTACAACTCTAAAGTTTCTTTGAGTGATTTGAAAGTTTACTAGCAGATACAAGTGTGCTTCACACTGGATGGGAGGTTTGGGGGTTGAACTGATTAGTGGAAGTGATAAGGCCTTATTAAAATGGCATGACACCCGTTTCCTTTCATGAAGTTCAAGTGAGTAAAGTAAAGTAAAAAAAAAAAATTACTTTCAATAATTATACTGTTGCACTACAATAATGAGTTGTCCATCAGCTGGTGAAACTGCCTGAGTGATTTCTAAAAGGGACTATAAATAATTTTAATACTCCTTCATTAGTTATATCTGCTTTATTATATTGCCGGAGAATTATTATAATAGCGACAGCACTAACTGGTACTACTGCATTCACATGTTAAAATTAAATATAAATGGAAATTTTAAAATGACATTTTTCTAAAATCTATTTTATAAACATGAAAACCTTTTGTATTGTTTAAAAACTCTGATGTTATGACTTCATGTTTAGATGGTCAAGTATTATACCAGCACCAGCGTCCACCTATGCACCGATCTGGATCAGTGCCATCCGGTCACAGTCACGGGATAGATGCAAATGATCATTACATAAGTAGCGGGCACTCTGACACCTACCCATATCACTGTCCTAATGTTGGAGATAGCTCTGTGATTACACATTCAAACGATAGGTAGGTCTATCAGCTCTGTGATTACATATTCAAATGATAGGTTGGTATATTACTAGAGTTTGTATTACTGGAGTTTAATTTAGAAGGAATTTTTATTTTAATAATCTGGAAAATGCTGAATTTCACTTAAGCAATGTTTGATGAATTTTTTATTTTATCTTAAATGTCTTGACCTATTTCATTTCATAGAAACCATCCCATTTGTATAGACCAGTGGTTCTCAAAGTGGACAGTTACCACCACCCCACAGGCATTTTTTCATTAGAATTATATATTTCAAAGAAATTTATGGCTCTATATATGGTTTTGATTGTCAGGACACAAGAAGAGTCAATTAAAAATATATTTTTGGCCACACGAAGAAGAGAAAAAATGTTGGATCAATTTTTCAATCAAATGTACCAGCATTTAGCAGCAAAACAGTTAATATTAGGTTAGCACTGTCAGCTGAAAACATAATAATCATAATATATAATGTATAATAATCATCTCCCATAGAGGGTCATGAAAATCTTATTCTTAAAACAATTATGATAGGGTTCAACAGCGGAAGGGTGGAGGGGGGGGGGGGTAGCACGCAAATGGGGTCAAGGGGGATAATATATAATGTATAATAATCATCTCCCATAGAGGGTCATGAAAATCTTATTCTTAAAACAATTATGATAGGGTTCAACAGCGGAAGGGTGGAGGGGGGGTGGGTAGCACGCAAATGGGGTCAAGGGGGGCAGTGACCACAAAAAGTTTGAGAACCACTGGTTAAACTATTATTTTCACATTCTAAAACTTCTAATTATTCTGACAATATATTCACCAATATTTCTTTAATCAAGGTAAATATCCACAATACTTTATATTTTTATTGTTGTAAAAGAAAATTTTGAAAGGATCTCTATCAATTTTTTTTTTACTTTGTTCTTCCAGGCAAATCATGGCTTTTCCCCAGTTCGGTGTAACCCCAAGCATTCCTGCGGGCAACTACTCCCAGGACTACAGATATTATTCCAAGTTCAGCTCAGCTGGTACACGCATGCAGAAAAAGCTGAGACAGAGGTGCACATGGCGCTGTACAGCATTGATACTCCTTGTGTTGTGTGTGGGGCTTTTAGCGTGCACAGTTTATTTTGCAGGTTAGTGGACAATTTTAACTCACTTTGGACTACAGTATATTACTGTATGCAAATCTTTAAAAATACCACATCTTATTAGACTTGTACACTGTAGATCCATTTCTCTATTTGATATAGTGTACTGTGCACATGTGCATCTAAAAGCAATTTATCAGTTATTGCATATATTCAAATGACATATCCAAAATGCGTACACAACCAAATCTACTTGACCCACTCACATTTGGTGACAGACCTCGCATTATATTTGCCCATAAAGTTACACTGGTTAAAACACATTTCCTTTGAAATATAACAACTTCAGGGATTTTGGACATTATGTTTTTAAAATATTTCTTTTGTTAATTTCATAAGCTATAATAATGTTATTTAAAAAGTTAACCGATTGCATTGTATATGGAAGTGACATTATAGGGCTAGTTTTCAAACAATGTTCAAGTTCACTTTTGCATGGATTGCATTATTACTGATAATATACAGTTACATATTTCTGCAGTACTTTTATTATTGTGTGGGACAACTATGATTTCTTATAAAATCTTCAAACAGATACAAACTGTTACCAATCTCCCATTTGATGGTTGAGTTTTAAAAAAAATATACCAGTAAATTTAGGCACATGATCCCAGCATGAAAATGATAAGCAAAACTATCTTGGGATTAAAAAGCATGTCATGTGCTATAAAAATGGGGCAAGTGTGATAATTTTTAAGTTCATGATTATGTTTGTTAAATTGTATGTATAGCATGGTGAGCCCAGCCCTAGGCTGGGTTACCACGCTTTACAAAGCCACCACTAATAATAATAATAATAATAATATTTAGATAGAATTACGGATGGCTTTGATCTAGAAGAATTATGGATAGTGTTGATCCCCTGAGGAGCCCTCATACCAAACCTTCTAACCAACCTGTTCCAACTTATGGATTCTTTGAGTCTTTAGTGTGTACTAGACCTGGTATTGAAATATCGCAACTATTTTTTTTATTATCTTTAGTGTGTGCTAGACGTGGTATTGAAATATCCCAAATCACTGTGTTATCCGTGTAGTACAAAGTTGTTAATTATTAATATTCTTCTAATTTTCACTGAAACTGTCTCACTTGTTCTATCTTATGCCACTAAAAAAATTTTGAGTGTTATTTATTTACGACAGTAAAAAATCACAGCAGATTTTCTTGGCTTATGTTAATGAAAATGTTTGTTTTTTTAAACAGCAAACTCAATGTTTATGGAAGAAAAAGTTGAGGATTGCAGCACCTTTTCTTCAGAGTTTAATGGTCCAATAGAACAAGTTCCAAACTCACACAATCGAACTCTATCTGCAAATGGTAGATTAGATAGTAGTAGATTTCAAGGTAACAGCAATTAAAAAAGAGTTATATAAATATGTATAAATCCATTGTATATTTTTATGCTTACAAAGAAATACATTAATTATTTACACGATCATCGAGTTTTTAAGATAAATAGATTAACTTAACCCTTTTAAACATCCCATCAAGGAATGCACCAGAGCTATCCCACTACAGAACCTATAACTACATTACTGGCTGGCAGAGCTGCAAGAAAATCAGTGCCACCAGGTTGGTCTTGGTACCTCATAGCAACAGCAACTTGTTAGAATAGATAGCTAAATAAAACCAAGTTTCAAATCTTTAATATTTCATTAAAGTTTCATCAGAGAGTTTCAAAATATTTCAATTTTATTTAAAAAAGGATGTATATTTTCCCTCCCATGCTGCTCGGCTAGAATAAGCCGCGTGAGACTGACAGGTTTTCTAATTCCTAGTTGCCATCTCTTGAAACTGTTAAAAATGATACAATACAAAAATGATTCACATTTACAGACAAGATACCTAGCAATTACTTCATAGCGCAACCCAAAGGGAACATACAGTGCAATATTTGTTTATTTACTACACTGGTATCAAAACATTAAAATACTGAAACAAAAACATAGAAATCTTGGATTAGTAAAGTTTGATTTTGACATAGAAATTTTGATTCTGCCTTCAAGGTACGTTCTGGATGAACCAAATTGACCAGAAGACACCTGGTACTGTCAAGCTGAACCTCTCGGTGCCAAGCGATGCAATGGTTGGCGTCTACGGCAGGAGAGGCATGCTGCCCACTCACGTACAGTTTGATTTCTTCAAAGTCATAGATGGTACAAGGGTTGGCCTCCGATCAAAGAGAGCTGTGGTAGGTTTTTTGGTTGATGGAGTAAACTTTTAAACCAATGAGCTTGTTAACCTATGAGCCCAGTAATAGAATAATCTTTTCACAACATTGGTATTTCATAAGGTCATTTAAGATGTGTTAACTTGCTGAATACCAACTAGTAGTGACCATGCTTTTCTTAAAATCATAATTAATTTTTCAAGTCTAAAGAAATTAAAGTTGGAGATACAGTAATAGAAATCTACAGCGGGAATATCTTTTGTATTGATTAATTTATAAATAAGTTACTAAGTACTGATAAATACTGATCTCTGCCTTCCTCTAGCGTACAGCTCTCCAACACAAATATTAAATGAAAATCTACAAAATTAATAAATAGTTGTTTTAATGCAAAGAAAAAAAAATATAAATATTTAAATTAAGTCAAAAGCATATGGTTTAACTTCTAGTTTTCCCATATTTTTATGTGTGCTTATACTGTGAACTATTCAACACAGATGGGCAATGACTACTTCGCTCGTGACACAGCACTTGTACAGTATTTGGATAAGGGGGAATGGTTCATTGGGATATTCAATGACAGAGAAACATACCAGTCTGTTCTCTTAACAGCTGCACCTCATGGTAAGTACAAATGGTTGAATTTCATGGAGTTGTGCTTTTAACTTTGTAAAATATGAAGATATGATCCATTCTAAAACACTATTCCAAATCTATCACAACAGTTGAAGTTGAATCAATGCTTTAAAAGACCCTAAAACAGTGGTTCTCAACCTTCCTAATGCCGCGACCCTTTAATACAGTTCCTCATGTTGTTGTAACCCACAACTAACCCACAACCACAAAATTATTTTCGTTGCTACTTCATAAATATGTGTTTTCTGATGGTCTCAGGCGACCCTTGAGTATGGGTCGTTCGACCCCCAAAGGGGTCTCAGACCCACAGGCTGTGAACTGCTGCCCTGAATGAACTTGGAATTGTAGTTTCTAGGAAACAATACAAAATCAAGGGAATAGTAGTTTCTAGGAAACAATATAAAATCAATATTCATCTGCATGTAACGCAAAATATATTGTGTTAAATACTTCTTTTTTATATAAGTATAGTTTTGTTAAATACTACTTTGTTCTACAAATATAAGTGTTAAATGTTAAAAATATTATTTTCTGTTTTCTAGTGATGGACACCAACTGCCCAGATAATTGTCACGGCAATGGAGAATGTAAAGACAGACAGTGTCGTTGTTTCCCTGGATACACAGGCTGGGACTGTTCACAAGGTCATTTCATAATTTAGTTTCTTGAAATTATTTTGAATGTGGGAAGGGGAAATGAATATTTATTTTAATTTAAGGGAATCTCGAAATTATGTACCCCACTTTCCAGGGGGAAAACTCCCAGGTTTGCCCCTCTGTATGGACACCAAGGTATATTTAGCGCCTCCTCCCCAGTAATGTATATTTACCTCTTGGCCCAGATAGAGTAAAAAAATTTAAAGTGTGCCCCCTTAACAAAATATTTTTAGCAACCCCTGCTCTAGAAACAGAAGGCCACAATAACATTTTTTTTATTGCAAAACAGTTATGTTACCTGTTTTGTTCTTATACCTTGTAGGTGTGTGTCCACTCTTGTGCAGTGGTAATGGAGTGTACCTGAGAGGCCAGTGTCAGTGTAACCAGGGCTGGAAGGGGGTTGAGTGCGACCTGAGGGAGTCTGAATGTGCTGTGCCCAGTTGCAACAGCAACGGTCACTGTATCAATGGTCAGTGCGTCTGCTTTCAAGGTTTCCAGGGACAAGACTGTGGAATAGGTGGGTCAAGGTCATTGTTTAAATGTTTGTTTCACCATCAGAATTTCTTAATGTTGTGAAAACACTAGATGAATATAATAGCCAAATAAAACAGAAATTTCTTTTATTTTTAGTTTCTTAAGTGTCTAGTATCTTTATTTCTCATGTTAAAAGACTAAAAGAAAACAAAACATCGAATTTCATACAAGTAATAAAATAAAATTTAATAAGATAAATTTGAAAGTAATTTTTACTATCATAATTAATAATAGACAAGCAAATTAAAGCAGTCTCCTTTAGATTATTTAATATTCATCTAGATGAGGAAAACAAATCCTCACCTTTTTAACCGTTTCATTGTATTTTTAACTCCTCCCATTCTTCATATTTGCTTTTACTGTCGATCACCTGCATGTTGTGTTTGAACATTATTTCTACCTCTTTGTTCAATGCACTCATTATTACTATCACTTTTTTTTCTCATACAAAAGTATTTTTAAGTGCACACTGGTATACTGCTGCTGAATTCAAATTTAAGGAAAAGTTAACAACTGAATCAGTTATATAATATAACACATAGATTAACAAACTTTGAGTCAAAGTCCCGTATAAATCTCATTGCCTGGAGAAGTCTTATATAGTTGAATGCATTGAGTCAAATTGCAGTGTAGTTAAATATTTTGAGAAAAAGAAAGGTGTATTTTTTTTTTTTACAAGCTTTATATCTGTAATATACATTTTTGTACAGAATTTTAATTTTAAAGATCAATGCTCATGTAATATAGTATTTTTACCAACAATATTCAAGGGTGCTTTCTATCTCCTGTGATACTTTTTATTGATTTTGTTCAGTAAATGACAGCTCTTATAATATTTATATCTTCTCAGGAATTCTGTTGTTATCCAGTCTGACAATTTAACCCAGTTCAGCCTTCATTATATTGGACCTACTCACTCCTACATCCTCTGGCTATTAAGAAATAACTTAATTTTGGGGCAGTGTGTTTTAAGGGGAAATGGAAACTTTATTTTTTATAAAACATTTAAAAAATCAAGCATCTTTTCTAAGGATTTGAGTTAGACCTTCGACCATTATTTAGCTTTGTCACAAGAACCCCAGCCATCTCTTTTAAAACATCTTGAATAGTTTAACAAATTGAGTATGTCTTTGTGTTAATTGCCTGCAGTGGTGCCAGTGTCACTCTCACAGTCTTTCCTCTGATCTCTATTCTGAGCTGTTCTTTTCAGCTCATTCCACTTCTTGCCATTCCTCTCTTTCTACTGCCCTGTGGATTCCATGACAGAGTCAGGGCAAAAATTCTATTTGCTATATTCTAACAATCCAGTTAACCAATGAAATAGAAAAAGAAAATCTTGAAAGTTTAAAAACTAAAATAGTATAAAACTGTTGCTGTTGAGAAGTTCATGAACTTTCGTATGCCATTTGTTTTAAAACATGGCTCTAGCTTTTCTGTAGTAAATAGTCACACGTCTTTAAATCACGATCTCCCTCCGATTCCATTGTTACTAATGTCTTCACCTCACCCTCCTTTCTGTTTATGGCATGTGACTGCAAGCAAACAAATTAATGGAAATAGTATTTGTAAGTTAACTTGTATAGCATTTGACACACACACACACAAGTAAATGCATAAAAGAGCAGAGAAATGTACAACAATTAAATTCAAATTTATCTCTACTTTTATCATTTTAATAATGTTCACCATTAACAAGTTTTATATGGTAAGTGTTTACACATGATTTTAACTACTAGAGTGCAGTCTATGCGAGTATTATGCATTAAACTGTCACATGACAGAGCATAATAATATATCATAATTTATGTCTAATTCAATATGTAGGTTGTAAGTGATAAAATAAACTAAAGTAGACGAAAAGATACTTGTGAAAAATCATGATTAAATTTGGAAGATAAAAAATGAAATATCGTAAACCTTTTTTTAGTCTAATGATTCTTGTAGCATTCTCCTGATAAGCTTGTACCAATATCAGGGATTATGTACAGAAAGATACATTATTTTTGCCTTTAATGTAATCAAAATGGTAATCTTTTCATTTTTAAACTGTAGTTCAGTAGGGCTGTTCGATTGTATTTATATTTTACTCTCCAGGTAATCTCAAGTTATAGTTCTTTGATCTTGTATGAATTGTTCCCACCCTTACCCCATCCCAATTGACCCTTCAGTCACATATAATTGTTCAGCTCTTAAAATAATGTAGTTTTATTCAGGAAATGAATTACACTCAGATACCTGCTTCTTTAAGCTACCATTGGGATTTCTGTAACCAGGAAAATAAGATAATATTTGATCTTGTGCTGATGATGTGTGACAATAGAAACAGTAGGACTTTGTCTTGTCCACTTTCCCTTATAGTACACAGTAACCATATACATTTTGCACCTGCACAAGGACTGGTTCCTATTAATGACCCCCCTCCCTATTGTTGTCTGCTCTAGTGGACTGTATGATGCCCAATTGTTCAGGCAATGGTGCGTGCGTACTCGGCACTTGCCGCTGCTTTAGAGGGTATAAGGGTCGAGACTGTAACACAGAAGATAAGATCAATGTGACAATGTTGTGCTCCAAAAACTGCTCCGGCAAGGGACTCTATGATGTGGAGGTGGGACGTTGTGAGTGTAGGCGACATTTTACCGGGTACAACTGTGAAACAGGTAACCGCTTGTAGTTGAAATCTCAGAATGATTTGGTTGAACTACAATTTTGTGTTGGCCAGTAAATGGACTAAGAGTTGATGATGCCACCCTTTGATTTCTTGTAGTGGTTTGTCATCCTACTAATAGGCCTGCAATTGCATCATACTTCTTTAGTTTTTTATATATACTCATCATTAGATATTTTCAGTAAAACATCATTAGATCTGATTGGTTTGTCCACTTTATGAACTATGATATATTGATGTTTTCATTAAAATGCAGAGAGAAAAAAAAATAGTTATAGAAATTTTATGTAATTTATTAATAAAACTGATATATGAAATATATTGTGTACATCAACATTTTTTTGGTTTATAAAATAAACTGGATTTAGCTTAATTTATTTTTCTTTATTCACCTTTTATAGCATTTTCAGCATGACAAGCTTACACTATATTGGCGATGGTGATACAATGTTATACTGTTTTGGTGATGTTAGTATAATGTTATACTATTTTGGTGATGGTGGTATAATATGGTGTAATGTTAGTGGAGCTTAAGTGACAACTCCTTGTCAATAAAAGTCCTACTTTCTATGTCCAGCTATAATTATTTTTTCTATAGTTTATGATAATTGAAAGAAATGATTACAAATTTGCATCATCAGAAAATCAAACCTGGATCAGCAGGTTGGCTGGCAAGAATTGTGCTTGCGTTAAGTTTCATCTAACATAAAAAAATTCATTTAAAAATATTTTTTTATAGTGCATGATGCAACTGTTTCAAAAGATTTGGCAACAGAGTTCTTGTCTTTTGGGGGCGTCTTTCTAAAGGAAACCTTTCAACTGGGCATGAATTATTTTTCTGGTTATTTACATCATTTGTATGTACAGCGTAATTACATTTGGTATTATATGGCTCAGTGAGTAGTACTGAAGTAGTGTTGGTGATAATTAGTGTAATATTATTTCAATTAATATTGACTGCTGTTAGATGTCTAAGGTTTTAGATCAATAGTCCTAACATTTTTGAAAACTAAAACTTCATATAAAATGCTTATAGGAATTAGAAAGTCCAAAGAGGTTGTTTTCTTTTTTGTTGATAATCATTATCTTCCTGATTTAGCTCCTTGCTCACTTTATAACTTTGTCATTTTTAACTCTATCTACTAACATTATTTTACATTTTTCATCTGGTTTTTTTATTTCTCTATTATTATAGAATTAAGTTTAAATATATATTGTTAAATTAAGTTTTGGATATGTTGAAAAAGTAGACGTTCAAACCTTGTTTTTTTTCTCTACTTCAATGTCTCACATCTTGTTGATGGCATGCTCCCATGTTTATAGAATCATGTGCTTGATGTTTGTGTCATTTCTGATTCCTTATGATTTCTCCCCGTATTGTTTCAGCACGTATGTATTACAGTTACACTAAAACAGCATTAATAGTAAATGGCTTTGCTTTTTGTTTATCTGATGCAGCTGAATTCTTTGTTTATTCTCTATGATTAAAAATGAAAGAATTTTAAATCAGTAATCACAAGAAATATATAGATTACACAGCAAGTTGTTATAAGTTCATTTTTGAAACAACTATATAATGTCATTTTTTGTTTTAAAAGTCTATGTTTAAATTTCCCCTAGAAGTGTTTTGACAGACATTTGAAGACTAACAGTCACTTATACCTATCTTCATAATAAATATTATTTTGATTTATGGTTGATCAAAATCATCCTTACTTTTATACATTATTTGAAATCTTTAAACAGAAAAGTTCATTGAAATATTCACTTCTGTCTCTTTGTAGAAATTTGCCGCCTGGAGTGTGTGAATGGGAAGTGTGAGAATCAGAGATGTGTGTGTTCTCCTGGGTGGGGAGGAGCACTCTGTGACCAGCTGGAGTGTAGCCACAGATGTGACCTCCATGGCTTCTGTAACAACGGCTCTTGTGTGTGTGACAAAGGCTGGAATGGAAAGCATTGCACTATTCGTAAGTTCAATTTTTACCAGTCATGTTTCTGGTCTTACATTCTCTGTCCTGATGGTTTTATTTCAAGCTTCCTATACTTCCAATTATTTAAATGTGTATAAATAGCTTGATGCGGTCTACTCTAATAACATCATAGGTTCTAAATACAGATGCATAGTTACTTTTCATTTATAATATTGTAAAATCATGTACTTTATGAATTTAACTCTTAGCCTACTGAGTTATTGTCAATTTTTGGACTGACTTCAATTCATGTACTTGCAACATACCAATAGCTTCAAACTAATAGACCAATAGCCATGATGGCTGTAATAATTTAAATTTGTGCATTAGCATATAAAACTTTTTTCAAAATATCTTTCAATTGAAATGATTATGCTCGACCTAGATGGGTGTCCAGGGGACTGCAACAGTCATGGAGCTTGCAGACGTTTTAAAGAAGGCTGGCGCTGTGAATGTAAGGACGGCTGGAAGGGAGAGGACTGTAACCTGGCCAAGGAGACTTCATGTTCAGACAGAGTTGACAATGACCATGGTGAGATTTAACAAGCATTATATTCATCATGTTTAGACAGAGTTGACATTGAGCATGGTGACATTCATTATAAGTAATACATTCAGCAGGTTCAGACAGAGCTGCCTGTTATTTTGTTTTCTATATGATGTGCAAACGTTTTCCATCTTGTCAGAATAACATTTCTTTATATTTTTTTAGGACCTAGTATTGTTAGATCAGATTTTAAATTTAATTCTATCAAAGTTAGGGTAAATTTTATGTTTTTCTTATGTCATGAATATTTTTCATTTCTTCAAATTGTTAAATATGACCTTATTATAAAAAAAAATTATAAATTTTTTTTTTTACATCAAGTGAAATGAATTTTTTTTATGTCCAGATGGTCTTGTTGACTGTCTTGACCCAGACTGCTGCACCAGTTCTACCTGTGCTAAGAGTCCCTACTGTGAAACTGCACCTGATCCTAAAGAAATCCTACTCAGAAACAATGCCCCTGCCCCAACTGCATCATTCCTGGATAAGATGAGATTCCTGATAGAGGAAAACAGTGTCCAGATGGATGCACCTAGAAATTCTTTTAATGAAAGGTTGGTAGAGAAATAAGAAAATATGATTTTACAATTATTTTATATAACAACTTAGTTTTCAGTAAAAAGTCATTATTGAATGGCATATTTATAATAATAAACTAGATTTTGTTCGTCTAACACAAATGTATAGTCTTTTTTAATTTCTTTATTAAATTTGTCAAATTCCCTCAATACTTACATGGCTGTAATTGGGGCCAGGACAGATATTGTTTTGAAGGATCAAAATTGTATTCTATTTATAGATATAAATAAGTTTGCCAGCATTTTTTTGGGAATGTGTGTCTTGATGATGTGATTAGCTTTGTATAACTGTTACTGCATTTGAACTGTAGTTGATACAATATTAAAAATCTCTTGTATTACAGTCAAGTTTCAGTCATCCGTGGCCGAGTGCAGACACTCGATGGAACCCCTCTCACAGGGGTCAGAGTTGGGGTCGTCACTCAGCCATTGTATGGCTACACTGTAACCAGGGAGGAAGGCCAGTAAGTTGAACACTTTGTGTGGAAAATATTTGATTAAAAGTTGGTTCAATTTAAATTTTTTTGAACAGAAGAGTTTTATTTCCATGCTCATTGGCTTCACCCCCCCCCTCCCGCACATTTTTGAACAGAAGATTTTTATTTCCATGCTCTTTGGCTTCACCCCCCCCCTTCCGCACCCCCTCCCTCTCCCTATCTCCTCTTTCCTCCCCCCCCCACCCCCCTTTTTTTTTTGGTGGTGTTTTGCTTTGGTTTTTTATAGTATTTTTATGTCAAGTTTATCAAATTTCCTGTTGGTGTGGTAACCAGTAAATGTCCACTGTTCTCAGATTGAACCTGGTGGTTCAAATGATTCCCACACATTATCATGACTATGTTTGTAAAATAAATAGCTTTTAGTCTACTTATTTTTAAATTTGTAATTTTTGGGCAATTAGAATTTTAAAAAATTAACTTTGTACAGAATCAGAGATGAAAAATGGAATGACGCCAATATTATCGACAGAGATGAAACATGTACCATTAATTGTCTTCTTTATTGTGCAGATTCGACATCCTTGTGAATGGAGGCGGCTCAGTAACATTAGAATTTCTCCGTGATCCTTTCTTGACTCAAATGGCCAGTGTCCTGGTGCCTTGGAACCAGATCATTACAATGGACACCATCGTCATGTCCATTGAGAGCAGAGCCCACCTGAACGCAGGTACAACCTGCTCCAACCTGGACAACAACCATGACCACTACCTCCTGAGACCCGTGGTGTTGAGTACCTGGCAGCACACCCAGCTCGGAGCTTGTCCAGACAGAAGCACAATAATACCAGAGTCACAGGTAGCTTTTGCATTTCCTAAGAAATCTTTAACCACTTTGTAGGAAGTTTTTTAAACATTCTTCATTAAGGGTGGTTTAGATATTAGTAGACCCTATACAAATATTTTTTACCAATTCTTTTGCAATCATTAAATTAGTGCGTTAAAAGAATAAATGAAGTTGTACAAATGAATTCTTTCCCTTAGGTTCTTCAAGAAAGTTTAGACATTCCTGGAACTGATGTTCACCTGGTTTACCACAGCTCAGAGAGTTCAGGCTACATGTCCCTCATTATGATACAGATGACACCTAGTGTCATCCCACACACCTTGTCCATGGTGCACCTCAGAGTTTCAGTTCAGGGGGTGGAACTCAGGAAGATATTTGAGGCTGACCCCAACCTTAAGTACACATTTGCCTGGGATCGTCTCAATGCTTATAAGCAGAAAGTGTATGGCATAGTCACTGCTAGAGGTAACCTCTCCTTCCTTAACTCAACTGGAGGAAATTTGCCTGTATAAAATTTACTCAGAATATCACAAGTTCCTATTGTTGAATTGTAACCCCAAGCTATTCAGTTAGAGCTTTCAGTTCCTTTACTTGCAAACTGTAAATTAGACTTGATGCACATTTCATGATCTCAATTTTACTGTTAAATTAAAACTCAACTTCCTTGAAATCTTCAGTGTATGTTGGCTATCAGTACCTGAGCTGTGATCACATTTACTGGGAGACCAGAAGTGCCACACTAAATGGTTATGACATGACAGCTTCCCACATAGGAGGATGGAACTTAGACATCCATCACACGTACAACTTCCAGGAAGGTGTGTGTCTTCACAATTATATATTAAAAAATACATATTTTTCCTCTATGCTCCATTTATTATATAATTGATATTTAACCAACGTTTTGACAACAAAAAGGAAACATGAAATAAATGGTTTTTGTTTGATAAAAACTCGCTTGACATCATTATACCAGCTATAAATAAATCCGCTATTTAACCACAAATTATCACTTTTCTACTTTTGCCCTCATCTCTCATTAGGTATTCTGCACAAGGGAGATGGCACCAACATTTACCTAAAGGAAAAACCTAAAAAAATTATGAACATACTTGGTAATGGACACAGGCGCAAGAATAACTGTGAGGCTTGCAATGGGAAGACTCTGGATAACAGCCTGGAAAACCCCATGGCTCTTGCTTCAGGATTAGATGGAAGTCTTTATGTTGGGGATTTCAAATTTATCCGCAAGCTTTCACCATTGAGAGAAGAGATTGCCAGCATTTTACAACTTAAGTAAGTCACCCAGATGACTGACACGTAGAAAAGCACCTTAACCAGGCAGGGAGATCAATTGTCTTCTTTAAAAGTCACTACATACATATTAATTGAAAAAGGAAATACCTGTCTCAAGATAATGAGACCCCTAAAACAATTTTATATTTCTTTTCCTGAACCACATTTATGTAATGAATGTAGTCCTTAAATTTGACTGAGAACGACATGTATTTATTTAAATTATAGGTATTAAACTGGGTGACTTTTGTTTTAAACTCTTGAAAGATTTTTTTTAAAGTCTTGAAAGATTTTTTATTTTTAAAAACTCGCTAAAATATTTTACAGTAGTGCCGATTTTCTGAACTAATAGAGACCGGTAGTATTTCAGATACTAAAATTTTTTGATAACCCAACACTGCCATGGAAAGGTTGCACGAAAGAAGTTAGTGCACAGAAAACGAAATGTTCTTGAATTATAGTTGTTATATTTTTTATGCTTTAATTGCTGAGTTTCTTAAAAATATTTTGCTCGCGGCCACTTTAACATGTTTAGTTAGCTTCATGGCCCATTTCTCTGTTATTAAATATTTAAAAACTGCTATTTTTTTATAAATGAAGTGCTTTTTGTGACCCCCAAGAAATATGCTGTAGCCCCCCTGGGGGCTATATGGCCCACGTTGAGAAACACTACTTTAATATGCATTGCATTAACAATACCTCATGATGTATAAGGGTTAGTGTCAGCTGATTGATGTCAAAACTTGAAAGGACTAGAATGTTGTTTTATGGGAAAGACAAAAGAAACAATAAATAAATAGAAATTTGTAAACTCATGGGTTCTAAAAACAGTTCTCAAAGTCTAAGTTTTCATCAGAATTTTCAAACACATCAGTTTTAGATGTCTAATCGTTTGGTTTTTCTTGTGTTATTTTGTCTGTGTTTTTTCAATCCTAAACATATCTCGTTCCATTATTTATTTCTTCTGCAATATATATTTATTTAAAACGTTTGCAGACAGCATTATTCCAATCTGGCCAAGGTCTGTACAGTAGCCACCTCAGACCTGTTTACCCTCAAGCTCTTAAAATTGTACAATATCATCACAAAATCGTTCAATACATTATCTTAATAGTAAAAAATAAACATATAGTATATATAAAATCATACATTGTACGCCAAAATTGTAAGAGTAAACATGTCTGGCATTTAGATTTTAACTGGATTGTGGGACAGACATTGAAATAGTTTTCCAGTGTTTGTACAAATATATTCCATGCCATGCGCATTTCATATGATAATAATAATTAGAAACAGACACTGAAGCTGTTTGGATAACCGATGTTTCGGATACTAAATGTTCAGAATATTGGCTCCACTGTATATATAAACATTTTTAGAATTCACTTCAATACAATTCTGAACGTTTGTTGAACCTGCTTCAGAGTTTTTCAATTGGTTTTTTTTTCAGTAAAGTGGTTGGAGCCAATAAGTTCTACATGACTGTCAGTCCTGTGGATGGTCGGCTGTACATCTCTGACTTCATGAGTGTCAAGGTCATTCGTGTGCGAACAATGGGCCCCGTTCCCGATTTGACCGATAACTTTGAAGTGGTGGCGGGGAACGGGGAGGAATGCCCAACGTCAGATCCTCATCGTTGTGGGGATGGAGGACCAGCTGTGGAAGCTACACTCAGACATCCTAAAGGTTGGGGCTTAAGCCACTTTGTTATACCAATTTGATATACAGAATTTTTTTTGCCTAGGTGAAGCAGCACTTTGGACTTAGGTCAAATACTTTGGCCGGTCCTCTTTCAGCATTTAGCCCATAGGTGGAGGAGTGTATTTTGCTCATGGTCACTCTTCCCACAGAAAGTTGTCTTAATGAGCTGAGAAGTCAAATCCAGCCAGCAGTTTGTCCATTGCTGGTGATTAATGAAATGAATTTAACCCGCTGTCTCTTTGTAACAGACATGCTAATATTGTGCCACAGGCCGCCTGCTGGTTAACTTAATTGATTACTAAGTTTTTGAACAATATTGTCTTGTAAAAAAGCACATGCCTCAATGGGGGAAGAGATTCCAGTAGCCTGCCTGAATGTTTTTGGGCCAAAGGTTCTGGAAAACTTCTCAGAAATTGTTGGTACCAATGAAATTATCCAACTAAACATCTATGCTGTGATTAGTTCTTTTTCACACATTGATAATCACACAGCCCGTAAAACTTTGCATGAGTTTCAACGTTTTAAGGGATCTGTTGGTATTTTACCAGAAAGCTCCTTTTATAACCAGTTTGTCACAGATTTCACATCACTGCATACTGACATAATTTAAACCTTATATAAAAGCTGAATTTTTTTTTTATTTATTTTTTTTTTTATTAACCTCTGACTTTTCAAACAACAAAAAGCAAAAACTCTCCTTTCTTTACTTCACTAAATAAAGCATATAATAAAAGCTCTAAGTCTAAATACGTTTCTGTCAAATAATTTTCAGGCATTGCTATAAATAAAGACGGCACAATTTACATTGCTGATAGTGCAGCCATAAGAAGGATATCTCCTGATGGGATTATAACCACTTTAATTGGTTCACAAGCTCAACCAAGAGAGTGGACTCCCATGCCTTGTGATGATATCCTGTCGGCTGAGAAGGTAATTTTTAATTTCTAAACTTTGCTGTTATGTCCTTTCAGCTGAGAAGGTAATTTTAACATCTAAACCTTGCTGTGATATCCTTACAACTGAGAAGGTAATTTTAACATCTAAACCTTGCTGCGATATCCTTTCAGCTGAGAAAGTAATTTTAACATCTAAACCTTGCTGTGATATCCTTACAACTGAAAAGGTAATATTAACTTCTAAACCCTCCTGCGATATCCTTTCAGCTGAGAAAGTAATTTTAACATCTAAACCTTGCGGCGTTATTCTTTCAGCTGAGAAAGTCATTTTAACATCTAAACCTTGCTGCGATATCCTTTCAGCTGAGAAGAGAATTTTAACATCTAAAACCTTACAGTGATAAACTTTCAGCTGAGAAGGTAGTTTTAACATCTAAAAACTTACGGTAATAACCTTTCAGCTGAGAAGGTAATTTTAACATCTAAACCTTGCTGCGATATTCTTTCAGCTGAGAAGGTAATTTTAACAACTAAACCTTGCTGCGATATCCTTTCGGCCGAGAAGGTAATTTTTACATCTAAAACTTGTGGTGATATCTTGTCAGCTGAAAAAGTAATTATAACCTCTATGCCTATGTTTAAAATCTGATATATTATTTTTGTTCCAGTGCTTTTGACAAAGTTCACTGTAAAACAGTTTTCAACTTATTTGCACAGGTAACACTCAAGTGGCCTACCGCTTTAAGCATCAATCCACTGGACGATTCTCTCCACATCCTTGACTACAACATTGTGCTGAAACTGACCAGTGATTTTAAATTGGTGACCATCGCTGGCAGGCCATTATACTGCCCGCCACGCCACTCATCATTTTTACCCATCGGCGTATTATCAGATGACGAGCAAGCATCCAACGTAGCGGACCATGTCAATCTGGTTGCTCCTAGGAGCATTACCTTTGGCCCCCATGGAGACTTGTACATTGTGGAGAGTGATAATCATCACATCAACCGGATCAGAGTGGTCAGCACAGATGGCAGGATTCATCACTTTGCTGGTGCAAAGAGCAAATGTGATTGTGAACTGGTGTGTTTTTTAAATTTTATTCTATAATAATTAAAAAGAATAATTAAATTTATTATAGGTCTTCAAAACTTGCTTTCAATTTGAAACAAGTGTGAGTTTCAAAACCATTCTGACGTGTAGAGTAAACAGTTAAAGTTCAATTCTCAACTGTCAGCTCTCAAGGTCATGTAACTGACCATTCATGCTGTAGAGCAAAGAAATGAAGTTAAATTCTTAACTCATCATTAAAGTAATGTGCAATAAAAATTATTTATATAATTTGGGTAAGTTGTCATTGCTGTTGTGAGACCTTAAGTCCACTAGTTAACCTAACCTTCCATCATTGCTGTCATGGGACCTAAAGTCCACTAGTTAACTTAAGCCTTCCATCTTTAAAAAAAAAAGAAAAGAATATTCCTAATACATAACCTAGATATTTTAAAGTATTGCTGAGACTCTACGAGCTTTTGTGAAATCTTAATGTAAAATATAAAGTTGGTGATGATTTTTCTGACAAACTTTGTGTTGGAGAAGATGAAGCACAACAACAAAAAATTTGAATGGGGCGTTAAAAACAAAATAATTGTATTACTGCTTATCACTCTTTGCAAATAATTTCTTTTGAAGCAAATAGTACTAACAAATCATATTTTAAGCTTCAAACTTAAATTGTGTCTCAATAAATAGTGCATTTATTTTAAGGCCATTTGAGTATTTAATTACTGCAATAAAAATAAGTTACTTTATCCAATAACTCTGAAAGTTCAATCTTTAGTACAGGCAAGCATATTTTTAACTTAAATTTTTTTTCTTAAAATTAACTAGAAATATGTGCTAACCAACATTTAATTTTTCTTTGTTTCCCCAGGAGAAGTGCACATGTTTTAACCCTAGAGAAACTCTGGCAGCCCAGGCTTTGTTCAGTGAGATCTCTGCTGTGACTGTCACACCTGATGGTGTCCTTCATGTTGCTGACGTTGGAAACCTCAGGGTTTTTTCCATTGTTTCTGAACTGCCTGTTCTCCAGGAAGGCAGCTACGAGGTCATGGCTCCTGAGACCCAAGAGCTCTACGTCTTTAATAAAAATGGCCAGCATCAGCAGACGATTAACATCCATACAGGACAGTACATTTACAACTTCACCTATAACGTGCTGTCTTCCTATGGGAAACTGGTCAATGTCATTGATGCTGCACAAAACAAAATTATCATTAACAGAACTGGTGAGTCTCATGCGTCTGAGCTTGTCCTGCCCTCGGGAATGAAATGTCTGCTGTCTATGGATAACAGACACAGACTTCATAAATACAAGGCTTCCAACAACTCCACCGCCACGTTTACCTACTCTGTCAATACTGGGCTGTTGGAATCAAAGCAGGACAGCAACGGCCAGACTTTCTTTTACCACTACGACGACACTGGGAGATTGCTTACTGTTCGCCAGCCAACCGGTCAGATCACCACGCTGACAACAGACATCAACACAACTGGTTCGATAGTCCATGTGGCTACGGGTACGCGCCATGTGAGCGCCATGGCTACCTATGGGAGCGTGCAATCAGTTATGCATGGCAAGTTGCTTGCTTAAACACCTTTCTTTTTTCTCTTTCTGTCACTGCTTTAAAATGAGCACAAATGGGAATTATTGTTTTTTCCTTAACAGTCCTTTCTTTGTTTCAATGAGAAAAATACATCATTTGTAAAATATTGTAGATAAAACGGGCTATGTCATCATGTCTTGATGGACAAAAGCACACAATGTTCCACCCGAACCAAAGTTATATTATAAATTATCAATGAGTTTACACTTGAGCATCACATCTTATGTCTCACTGCTCTCACTTTATACTCCGCCACATCTCACGCTGTCACATCCCAAGCAGTCATGCCTCGCTCTGCACTTTTCCTCACCTAACATTGTTCTCTGCCACACCTCACTCACACACTGGTCTAACACCATCTATTCATGCCCCACTCCATTCTGACACAGAACTGTGATAAATGTAACATAACATAAATTATTATTAATGTAACATTATCCAAAATTTTACTAACATTTGAAATATTTTTTTAGTGTGTGTTATGATTTCATGGATGTGGTGTACTCAAGGTACGTGTTTTTACCAAAAGCACAGAAGACGTTTCACTCTCGGACACGATTTTTATTTGACATTTCACTATGACACAATTTTTATTACATTTGCAGGGACATGATTGTTCTTAGACATTTTGCTTTGACACAATTTCCATTAGACATTTCACTATTTTCACTATGACACAATTTTTTTTAGACTATTTGCTATGGGACACATTTTTTTTCATTTCACTATGGAACATCAGACATTTCCCTATGGCAAAATTTTTATGAATGGTTAGATACCTGTTTTTACTGATTATATATAATTAAAAGGCTTTTTATTTTCGTTAGTTTTTACATTTGTGCTCATTAGGCATTTTTCTTCTTTTTATCTCCAGATCACCTCTATTTCAATTTTGTTTTCCTTGTTAGTTTTTGCCTTTATTGGGAAATTTTAAAACTAGATTACAAAAAAAAATTATGTTAACCTCAAAATACAGACTTAAGTTTTATCTTCTGCCAATCACTAAAAAAAAAAAAAAATTAATGACATTAATAATTTTTCACCATTAAAATTCATTCATATTGCCCCCCACTTAAAAGAAATATTAAGATGCCATTAGTCCCTGAGTTTATTGTAAATAAGGTTGATCTTAATAGTGTGTGAGACACAGCGTTTTTCTCAATATTATTGATGAGAATCATAGCATTTACTTAAAATTTGATCATGAAAACTCCACACCAAATACAGGCGCTCAACTTGTCACAGTAGTATTTTAACATTGCTTACTTATCATACACCACACATATAATTCAGCATGCTGGCTCAGTTTTTTTTCTTTTAATAACCTGTTCACAAAGTTATTTGTTAAATCAACAGTAAAAAAACAAGATATAAATTTTAAGTAACACAATTTATGGTTATAATATATTTTTAAAAATGTATGAAAAGTTTGTTTTTTTTTAGTTGTATATTTGTAGACAAGATTTTAAAAGTCTCGTTACATATAGATTATAATTAGTCTTGCCTTTTTTTTTTCATTTTACTTCAAATCGAAGTTGTGTCCTAATTCTTTTTAAATTTGTCAATAGTTTTAACATTGTAACTTCAAAAGTAAATCAATAGGTAGTCAAGAATCAAAGCTACTCAGACTAAAATGCTAGAATTTAATTTCTACCAAGTGACTATCAAACAAAAGTTTCATTTTGATTAATCTATTGTTGTCTCTATGTCAATGGTAGTCTCCAAAGCTCTGAGTTGAAAAAAGTTTAAATTGAAAACTTGCTCATTGTAATATTTCCATACAGAAACACAAAGAATTAAGCTTAAGCTTGATCACCTGTCCAAAGTTGCTACAGCTTGTTTGTGGGTGGGATATTTTGTTTTTTTTAAATATAATTACAAGTATCCCAACGTTCGAAATAATTTTAAAATGTAGAAACCAATGGATTATTGCTATAGTGTCTAAGACAGTAAGAATAGTTTGAAAAATTGTTCTGTGAGCATCACTTTCCTGATGGATTAATAGGTCATCATTGAGTGTGGCTGGTTGCTCAATTTATTACCTGTTATTTGCCATAGATGCTACATTTTTTATTTGATTTCTGTTAGTGAAATCCAATACTTTTGGATGCACTGACTTTTACTACAGATGACCTGATTTTTCTACCAAGCATAGTTTGTGTACAAAATTGACCTATGCATGGCTTAATAATAATTACCCTGGACAGTTGCATTCACCTTAAGCCGAGCATGTGTTTTGGCCTTCATAGTATTAGGCAGATATGATTTCACCTGACATTGCATGGTGTTACTTCTCCTATACAGATCTGCATGGTTTTACAGATCCTTAGCATATTGTCATTATGCAGTTCTAAAAAAAAATAATTCTTAAGCATAAGATAATGATCTGGTTACATCAGTAGATCTATATTGATCAGTCCTACCTATTCATGTATTCTATAGATCTCATCACAAAAAGGAACATTTTATAATTTTTAACCCATTTTCCAGTCTTTTTTTTTTTTTTTTTTTTTTCAGTTGATTTTCTAGCTTTTACTGGCCTATTTTCTATGAAATCCAATGATAACCTTACATTTCTCTTTGTTTTGCTTACAAAAAGGAACTTTTTATAATTTTTTACCCTTTTTCCTGTCTTTTTTTTTTTTCTTTTTGTTCAGATGATTTTCTAGCTTTTACTGGCCTATTTGCTATGAAATCCAATGATAACCTTACATTTCTCTTTGTGTTGCTTAGATTCATTAAATTTTTTTGAATGGTTTGGTTGGTATAACGTAGTGATAGTTTGTTACTTTTACTATTAAAGTGTGATAGATTGAATGAATCATGGATTTCAAGCAAAAAAATCAATGTTTTTTAATAAGGAAAACTTTTAAGTTAAAACTAACAAAGTTTGGAAACAGATTGTTCTCAAAATCATTTTATTGGAATCAGGAGTTACAGAGCTAAATTTAATCAAACATCATCCATTAGGTTCTAACATATTCTAACTAAAACACAGAGCTGTTCTTAATCCTACATTATGCATTAGGCTCTAACAAAATCTAACTAAAATGACTTTGGAATCAATTAAGTGCCCTACTTAACATATATACACCACTATGCAAGAACAATTATATATCTCTCCCACCCCCCCCCCCCCCCCCCCCCTTCAACCCATAAAGAATTTTACTCCTATCAAAATATAGAAATGTTCAATTTTACAAATTTTTTCTTAATTTTAAAATTTTTTTGATAGCACAAAGGTAGAATTAAATTTTTTTTAAAAGGTTAAAAATTCAGCTGTAGTTTATGTGTAAACAAATTTTTCTAGTACTTCCTTTTTTTTTTCTTATTATTTTTTGTATATACAAGTTTCAAATTAAAATAACAGTACTAATTTTTTTTTAAATTTCATAACTGACTTGTTGTACATTTCAGGACTAACTAATTTTTTAGAGCTAATGATTTTTCACACTATTGTTGTGTTTGCTTATCACGTTTGTCTCTATCTTTCTCTTCCTGGCAGGATCAACCCAAACTAAAGTAACTTATCTACCAGATGGGGCTGTTGTTGTACTGTTCCCAAGCAACCTGACTGTGGCTATAGAAACTGGCAACCATCCAATCATGGAGAATGAGAATCGCATGCACTACAAACGGAAAGTCATCGTGCCGGGATCATTAGTGCATCGCCTGGAATGGAGATTTTATTTGAGACGTGGTGGTCGCACTAGATCAGCCAAAGTGACAGAAAAACTAAATCAACGTTTAAGGATCGGTGATGTGGGTCGCCACACTGTTCACGATGCTCTTGGTGGAGAAGGCAGAGATAAAGCTTTGATGGTATGTACAAAAAATTATTCAAATATATAGGATTTTTCATAAATAAAGAAATGAATTACTAACAGAAATAAAAGAAAGAATATTGGCCATAAGCAGGACATACTTCTGAAGTCACAAAATTCTCAAAAGTAAAAAAATTAAAAGAAAAACGTGACCTATTATCAGATTAGAGTAACATATGCCAGTGAAACTTAGACCCTAATAAAAAAAACAGCAGAAAACCTATTAAATACATGAGAGAGAAAAGTTATCTGGAATATATATGGACCTAGGATGAATATGGATGGAGAACACAAACCAATCAGGAATTCTATGGACTATACCAGGATCCCATGCTAGAAGCAGAAATTGAAAAAGGACATGCTGCACTGAGCAGGACTCTTAAAAGGAATGCCTATTGACAGAAAAGTGATGAGGGTGCACTAGAAAAACCCCAGATGAAAATAGCTCCAAGGCAAGCCTAGGCTCAGATGGATGGATCATTTGGAAAAAAGATCTGCAGCAGCTGGAAATCTTAGTATGGAGAAGAAAGGCAAAATAAATGAAGTACTGTGTAGAAGCTGTTCGAAGGAAATAGTAAACATGCTATGTGGAAGCTTGAAATATAAAGACTGAACAATAAAAAGAGAATGTTTCAGCTATGTTATTGTCGGAAGTTGGGTTTTCCAAAACATCAGTTAGGTCTGAGTGGAAGGAAATGGTGAGGCGACCAAAGGCCAACATGGGCTGTAGCACCACGGGGGATGGAAACAGCTAATACTTAACTACATAAGAAATGTAACACTTGTCATGAACCCTTATGATCTAAGCATTCACAAAATGTTGGTTGCATTTTCACCTGATTTACCTTCACATGCAAATTTTGTTTTATTCACCTCACTCGCCAATTTTAAACAATGTGACCCACACTTTTTTTTCCTTCAGTTTTTGTGATTGTGTTGTATCTTAAACTTTGTGATTGTGTAGAAATCTCAAACAAGCAGGCTGCACTTTGGGCCTGCCCTCCATGCTTCATCCTGTGGCTTACATTATGTTGGACATCTCGAATTTTATTAATCCATTAAAACTGTTCAATGAGATAACACTATTTTTGCTTAACTTTCCTTGTATATTTTGTGTAAGTTTTACCAGTTCCCTATTACAATGCCCCAAGTAACTCAATGAAGCTTTAAAGATGACAGCAATTTTTTTTCCCCACATAATTATGTGCAATTAGTGAAGCATTATGTCCAGACATTCAGGAAATTCCTCATTGCTTTTTTTTGAAAAACAGATTTCTTAACAGATCTTTTTCAGAATAAAATGTGCCCTGAATAATAATTTTTGATGACATTAATCAAGGAGGTAAAGATTTCTAGAAGTAATCAACTTGGCTGATCTATTATGAAATTTATGTTGCCTGTGATACATCATTTATGAATTATTTTGATGCTTTTATTGGTTTCGGGCAGCTTTGTGTGAACCAAACCAAGGCAATAAATCTTTTTAGTGGACAAAGCTTAGCAAGAAAGAAAAACTTTGGGAAAAGGGATAAAAGAAAATATAAAGTAAAGAAAAATGGAGAAAAAGGGAACTTAGCTCTGTAGAAGTACACTGTGCTGTCACCAGGTTTGCCACAGGTTTTTTTCTTACCTTAGCAGGTGTGTTAGCAGGTTGTTTTTTTGAACAGACCTTTACAAAGAATGTTGTTTGTGCCATTGGTTCCCCCCTTACCTGTAAGAATATTGATGACAGTTAATTTAATGACAAATTTGTGCTTGAAACAAGCCACTGAGACAACAAGTTTCACGTTTTCAAATGTGACAACTTGACAATACTATTGTCATTCATCCCACGGCAGGCTTACATGACATCATGCCAAATTTGAAGCATCAACCTTTTCTGAGTCATAAAATCACAACAAATTAAGCTAATGCCGTGTCTCTATGCTTGATAATTTTTGTTTACGTCTGACACCATATCATAACATATTTACATTTTTTCTTTCAGATTGACACCAAACATCTTAGTTGCAGGTGATTTGAACATTGACCAAAAATATATTATTTGTTTTTTTAAATACTTTTTATTATAACATTTAAAATTGAGTACATTGTTTTCATTTCTTTTGGATTTGACTGGCTTCCTAAAATTTTGACTTACATTTGAATACCTCCTATTACCATGTCTCATCTCCATTTGCTTGCAGTGTTGATTTGCTTGTCCTGACTATTTCATTGATATCTGAGTGCACTGCTGCCGGTGCTGAGATGTATTCTTGACTACACACAACCTGAACTCATCCTTTATTTGATCTCCTCTACAGCTCTTGTTATCATGGCATGCACCTCTGTTCTGCATACCAATCATGATGCACAATTACTATTTTTATATTTCCCAACAGTTTGGCATTTGCTCTCTTTCATTCTTCCATTTTTTTTTTACAATCAAAAGAAAACAATTTTGTTTAAGCTTCAAATTGCAATGAAGAACAAATTTAGAGAATAAATATATTAATCTGGTTTAAAAAAAAATGAAAATACAAAGTCAGTCATAGATGGATTGTGATAAAGTTTTCATACTGCCTGTGACACTTCAATTCCATCCTTTTTTTGTCAGAATAATTTTATAAATGTGCATTCAATGTAATTTTTTACAGCCGTGCATTGAAGCTTAACATTCCTTCCAATATAATATGAGTAAAACAGAGTAGGGTTAAACCTGAAAAAAGGAACGCAACAAAACAACGAACGTGTCGGCAGGAAGCCTTCGTCAGCGAACAAAACAACAGAAAAAACAGTATATAAATAAAAAAAATGGCACTTGACTTAGAAGTAGTATCCGTGGGCAGCAAATGAATTTTCCAACTTGACAACAAAATATGGCAATACAGGACTCTTTGTCACTCACCATTTTTAATTCAAACAGTTTAGCAATGTTAACAAAAATTCAAAGATCATGTTTCTATGTATTTCTGACAATGTTTCTATCATCTATTCAGATCAATGGAGAAAACTTGCTGACTGTTGAGTATGACCGACGCACACACACAGAAACAGTCTTGGATAAAAGTCTCCGTGACATTATAACAGTGGTCTACAACTCAGCTGGTCTACCCATACAGTTCATCCCTGCCTCCTCCCACCATTCAATGAACGTCTCCTACAATGCCTACGGTGATGTGGTTGAGTGGCAGTATGGTGATCTCATAGAACAGAGGGAATACATCACCGCTGGTCTCATCAAGCAAAGGACTCTCAAACCTGGGGGCAAGCAGTTCAGATATTTCTTCAGGAACAGCTCTAGCAAGGTAGGCATTTTCATTTTTTTTAGGAACAGCTCTAGCAGGGTTGCCGACCTGTTTCCTCTTACGGTTTCGGCTTACAATGTATGATTTTGAGATGTCTTTTACGATAGTATGCCAAGATCTATCAGGACTACGATTTTAAGAGACTGGGTTGAAAATGTATACATTCTGGTAGTTTTCCCGATTAAAAAAAACAATAACAACAATTAAAAAATAACTTAACAATAATTAAAAAGAATATTTTAGGATGTTAGTTTTAATTTGCATTCTACATCCAGTGGTGAATGGATCAAGAGATATGATTGGTTTGGGATCATCTACAATTATATTACATTTACCCTGAAAGGGAAAAGGAGTGGTGTTGATATAGGAGATTGTGTGTAATGGAGGGGGGGGGGGGGGGGGGGGGGAGATTTTCAGATATTTAAGTCTATAAAATTAACACTGTCACATTTTTGTAATGATAGTTGTGATGGTCATATTGTGGCTTTATGTTTACATAATGAACTTGTTGGACATGGCAGCGGTAATATTAGCATAGACGCCCTACTGATGATTTTAGTCCATCTGGGGCCATCCCTATAGATGGCTTCTCGTGTTTGTTTGCTTTGGCGCTGTATGACATCGCTGTATGACATAATTTTTGACAAGTATTTCTTACAGTTGAACCACAATGTGTGCAAAAACAGAGAAAACTAAAGAATGCATTCTCAACTGTTTCAGTTCCGCGCAGCAGCATTAGATTTCAACATAGGACCTGAGAGGGCCTTTGAAAAATATTTTAGAACGCAGAAAACAGCTGTAGGATTTTGAATACTCCCTCTCCCTCTCACCCATTTACAGCTTGTGGTAGTTCTCAGACTGTCATAGCATCATCTACTCTCACCCATTGACAGCTTGTGGTAGTTCTCAGACTGTCATAGCATCATCTACTTTTAAAAGTTACCTTTTTTGATGCCAGCTTAACTCGATCCCACCAGACACGTGATGCCAGTAGTTATTTTATATTGCAAATATTATTTAAATTGTATGTTTATTTATTTATATACTAATTAAGATACTGTATTGGAAAATTTTAAGATGATATTGTACGATTTTACAAGTTCGAGGGTAAACAGGTCTAGGGTAGGCATTTTTATAGGAATAGCTATGCAAGGTAGGCAATTTTATTGGAACAGCTTAACAAGGTAGGATAAGTTATAGGAAAAGCTCTAGCAAGGTGAGCCTTTCAAACAATGGACTTCAAATATTTGCCATGACATAAATTAATTATTCAGATCAACGATCTCAAAATCTCTATATTCTGAATTTTTTAATGTTACATATTGCTTGCAGCCCACAGACATATTTCTGCCAAGTGGTAAACAGTATCTGTTCCGCCATGACAAACAAGGCAATCTCCAGTCTGTGATGACACCAGTGCTGGGACATCATCATTTCAGCACACTGCTCACACTCGGCATGAGACGCTTCCTGTACACGGCACCGGGGTTCACCATGCCCTACATCGAGGATTATGATGCCATGGGGAAATTACTACAGGTCTTCATTTGTTACTTTTATGTTTTTATAAAATTAATTCAACAAGTCTTACAGGGTGAAGGAAATACTTCAAATTGGAGATGAGCAGTTTTGATTGACAAATGTTTGATTCTGTGTGAATGCACAAAATATTTTCTAATATAAGGTCATTTGCCAGATTCTTGTTTTGCTCAAGACTTGAACTCAAAAGAACTTTTTTCTTCCTCTGCGGTATTGCGATAAAGTCATATTATATTTATCTAAGTGTTTAAAGGTAAACATAATGTTTTACAAGCATTTGAAGTCATTAAATTATTATATTATTTAAAGGGAAGATCCAGAAGAAAAAAAATGTTTGCATTGGCATTATAAATCTTCTTTTACAATATTCTCCAGGTGATTTATCCAAGTGAGCAGCGACGAGTTATAAATCGCTACAATGAGATGGGCCAAAGACATCTGACCATGTTTGATCAGACATTGATAGAGTACACCTACCACCCTGAGGTATTGCTCCTGTCCCAGGCTTTTCTTACTGCCAGGGGATACTCCAACAAACTGACCTTTGGCTATCTGAGCTCCCTGGTTCAGGAGGCCACAGTCACATTCCCCCAGGACGCCAGCCTGGTCGGCGCCCATTTTAAGTTTGGCTACGACAACTACTTCCGTCAGATTGAAATAATGTTGACCCTGTCCACCAACATCAGCTGTGCCTCCAATCAGTCGTACAGTAAGGATAATGGGAAAATCTCCAACATTGCTGGCATCAGTGTGGAGTGGCTGACAGAGGCTAAACAAATTTTCACAGATTCCCACATGTACATGACAAGGGAATACGATGGCTACGGAAAACTCATTGAATACAAGATCAAATTCGGCGGAGAGGTGAAGTTTGAGATGCAGATAAATTATGATAAAATTGGACGAGTCCACGAATGGAAAAGAAAGGTGGACACGTGGAAAGAAGTCACCGTTGAGTACATCTATGATGTGGACAGTCATGTGACTGACGTCCTACTTCAAGGGAAGACGGCGTGGGAGTTCGGCTATGATGCAGACGGCAACATCAAGAAGATAACATCTCAAGGAATGACGAGACACATGGAGTTTGATGTGGGGGATAAGATAACAATGATGGGTGGAGTCGGCTACAAGTTTGACAGCGATGGCCTCATGGCCCAGAGAGGATTAGATCATGTCAGCTTCAACTCCGCGGGGCAGCTCACCTCCGTCACCCGTCACACCTTGTTTAAGTTTTCCTACTATTATGATGCCCTGGGTAGGTTGTCGCATCAAAGAGATCGTAACGGCCGCATACTTCAGTTCTTTTACAGTGATGCCAACTCAAAGACAACCATTACCCATGTCTACAACCACACGACAGGGGAGCTCACTCAATACTTCCGTGATACAGATGGAGCTTTATTAGCTCTCCTGCGTGCAAACCGACTTTACTATATTGTTGTTGACCCGAACCAAAGCCCTCTGGTTGTTTTTGACAAGGACGGCAACACTGTGAAACATATCAGCTATAATCCACTGGGAGTCAAAGAATCCGACTCCAATCCCGATTTTGATCTGGCCTTTGGATTTCAAGGTGGTCTCTACAACACCATCACACAAATCGTTCATTTTCCTGACAGAGTGTACGATGCAAATCTTGGACGTTTCTTAACTCCAGATTATGGACAGGTGTTCAAAAAGTTAGAAACAGTTGCTGAGGATCCAGAAATTTTGAATTTATATGGGCACCAATACTTGGTGAATGCACACCTTCGAACACAGCGGTATCCCCGATTAGGTGAGTAGTTTTATTATTGTTATATATAAGTTTTTGGTTTGTTTCAGCATTTTATGTTATGAATTTAAATGCTTTAAATATATTGTCAGGAGCCTTCTTTCAATTTATTTGATAAGCCTTTCAAGTTTGTCCATCCTTTCAGTTATTTTCAACTAACTTTACTGATCCATGGAGACAATATTTAAGTAATTTTTCCACCCAAATTTAGCTTATCCTTATACTATAGACAATGTTTTATTTATCCTACAGATCTGTCTGACTGGTTGAATGTATTAGGTTATGACATTCGCTCCATGGCACCTTATGTATCCTACACTGGACATCTGAAGCCAGGTCTTGAAGAGCCAGATTTTCAACTTCTTCCAGCATCGTCAGCATTTGAATGTACATTCAGGAGAGATATGCACAATTTGTTGACAATATCCACTGTTCCACAATCCAAGGTTGGTCTTTATGTCACACAATAATCACAGTTATAGGATTCCTCCACATCAACTTATAAAATGGAACACATTAAATAGCAAGAAGCACAATGCAAAACACTGGCTGTTAAATTTTAATTTATATTGATCAATCTTTTTATAGAAATAGAATGTTAACTTATGTTTATAATAAGTAGCCCCTCACTATGTTATTATAGTCCAAGCCCTAGTTAAATATAGTCCAAACTATTTATTATTATAGTCCAAGCCATATGTTAATATAGTCCATACTCTATAATATATTATAGTATACATTATATAATATTATATACCAAGCACTACGTTAATAGCATTATCTTATTAAAACAGATTTTTTTCCTTAGTTATGTTGCATTTTTAGTTATTTAATTTGTCTTTTGGACATCTCAATGCCTCCTCCATTTTTTTTTATTCATCAAATAATTTAATAAGTGTTATACAGCAACATCATCTCTACACTGACCTACTTTTATGCTGGTCAAAGGTGACAACAATTTAATCAATTTATGATTAAAGGATTAATCAAACCCCCCCCCCCCCTTTCCCCTGTTAAATGAATTGTAATATGCAGTGACAAGGAAATAACATTTTAAATATAATCTGTTCAGGTAACACCTCCGCAACACCTTCTCAAAGAATCACCTGCACCACTGGACTCAATATTTGGACATGGAGTCACCATCTCAAACTTCGATGGTAAAACAGTTGTCAACATTGTTGATGTGGCTCAGTCATGGGCAAAAAATCTGGCAACTGTTCTTCTCAACAACTCCGACATTTTGCCCATCCACTTCACAATTAAGGGAAGAGATGTTCATTACTTTGTGAAAACCAGCTCCCAGCAAGCGGAAGATGACCTCAGGGAACTTGGCATTCACAGCAACCTGGTGACCTATGAGTCTGGAATCAACGTTTCGGTCTTTCGCAACCAACATGGCCACGGCATTGGCACATTAAACCGAGAGGTCGATGTTCGGATACATGGCAATCACACAATCCTGAATGTTCGCTATGGCACAACCACCGATAGAGAGATAAGGAGAGTTCTGAAACATGCCAAAGACAGAGCTGTTGATCATGCGTGGGCCAGAGAGAAGCACTTGCTGCAACACAGTCTGCCTTCTGTATACCACTGGTCAGAAGCCGAAATGCATCAAATCTTAAATGGTGATCGTGTCACTGGATATGTTGCTGACTACATTCACCAGCCAGACCAGTACCCAGAGATTTCAGACGACTGTAATAATATAAGGTTTGTGCTGGAAGTACCGTGAGATGAACGCTTTAACTTTATGGCTGAAGTGATGTGAGACAACTGTTATGATTTAAGTTTGTGGCTGAAGTACAATGATCACAGTTAACTCAACTCTGCTTTTAAAAAATATTTTGATATTGCCATCAATACTCTAATATATCTCTTATTCGAAAACATTGAAAACAGTATCAGTAAGAGTATAAAATTAATCTAAGTGATAGAAATATCAAATTTTGTGTACACATTACATAGTTCCGACACGTATCAATTTCTTTATTTTAATATATGGAGTTATTTAAGGAACCATAAATATGTATGGATCTTTAATTTAATGAGCCATGTCAATGTGTTGATCTATTTAATGAACCATATAAATCTATATGTGTGTGCATTGCAAACATTATCAAATTTAAAATACAAAGAAATCAACTGAGCCCACCCAAACATACCAGTATTAAGAAAACTAATAATTTTTTTATTTGATTAATGTTTATCTGCACTTTAAGCATTTTGAGGTTTGTAGAAATTCAAATAAAAAATAACAGAATCAAATATAAGAAAATCCCACTCTTAGGTTGTAATGAAGAGGAGGCATTGCCTATGACATGAAATCATGTTAATAGAAAATCATGTTTATAGATTTGTGGTCCAAGCTGAACAGTTTAAAATCATGTACTAACTAAAGAATGTATTCAATGTTACTTGATTACATGCATTTTGTCTTTGCAATTGAGAAGTTTGAACACATAATCGTATGCTGTTGACTTAAGCCACCTAGTTTTGGCTTAACTGATTTTACTAATACATATTGTGTACATTTTCTTCAGGAGTGATGGTTTCTCATTAGACTGTGTTCATATTTAATGCATCTTTGTATAGCTTAGAAAATTTTTTAAAAATTCAATGTGCAATATGAAATTCTCTTGTTTTTTTGTTTTTTTTCTTTTGTTACCATTAATTGAATGCAAATATTTTTTTAATCTTGCTTGCTAAATTGATATTTACTATTTGTTAAGGTCAATGATGTCAGTTTGTTTTTTGGTGCGAGAAAATTTATGGTATGTGATTTATTTTATAGAAATAGACTTAGTTCTCTTTAAACTTGATGCCATTTGACGACTATGTTATTTCATCAACACTTAATGGGTATCAAAATTTTTGTTTTAAAAAGAAAGGAAAAATAAAAAGCTTTAAAAAAAATTATAAAACAATTTGTCCTGCCACCAGCTCTCACATAAAATGTAGCCTGCCAAATTGAAGAGCTACACAATACTGGGTCACTTGGTATGTTCATTTTGGTAGACCCTTGACCTGGGGAAAAACTAACCAAACCCTGCTAGGATTCCCAGGAAATGTTAATGTAGACATTATAGCTGAAACGCCAGTTGTTATATGTTTAATAATGAATTTTGAGTTTTGTTTATTGAAAAGTCATAATGAACAGATTAGCAACACGGGTAAGCATACCGTGCATACAGTTGTACATGAAATGACAACACAGTGATTATTGCAGCCATACAGTTGTACACTGAATGACAACACAGCGATTATTGCAGCCATACAGTTCTTCAGATTAGCTATTTATTTTCTGTTATGTCCTTCTAAAAAATATTAAGTTGTTTTTGCTTATTTTGATCAGTGGCTGGAGTTAGTATTATTGATCCCACGTTCTGTTTCATTATAATGCACAGCAGATACTTCTATAACTAGTAGCTCTTGATTCTGTATAGTACTGGCACTATTGCCTCTAGCATAAGTCGGTCCAAAAAGGAGAATGAGAAGTGGCACTATTTCAACAAGTTGTAACATTTAGCACATGTTGGCCTGTATGAAGAAAAAGTGACTTTGATATCATGTATGTTTAGATAATTGTATAGTGAAGGTTTGAGTAAGTGTGTATATTTGGATTAGGGGGGTGCAGCTTGTCAGTGTTATCACACCTCTTGTGCATATATAGTAAGCCATGGGTGGGCAAACTTTTTGTGCATATGGCCACATTGACAAATGTGTATATTATCTCCACTTTGGTTACAGCAACCTTTTACAATAAGGAATTGTGAATTATTTATTGGTTATTAGACAATATAACCAATTATTGCGATATAATTTTTCTTATACACTTATTCATTATATTTTACAATGTAAACACAAACTTTTACTAATTTGTTTACAAGATTTTTAATGTCAAGGACTGCATACACAAAAAAAAAAATCAGAAAGAAATTTTATTATAAATGTTAAAACGATCATAACAGTACATGAAATTCTGTACAATTCAATAAAATAACTTAAAAACTAGGCAGCATTTTATTTCTAAATGCCCTCGAGGGCCACATAATATCATTTGTCGGGTCGCATGTGGCCCCATAATTTGCCCACCCCGTAAGCTGAACATTTGATAATGTTCTAAAAATTCAGGCAGGCCAGGCCGATATTATAAGATATTTCTTATATTGTTGAATGTCCACTCATAAACTGTATGCTTTAATGATGGTGAGTCCAGAGTTAAGTGCAAAAGGGCTCTACCATCACGTTTGGGATGGTGCTCATGTACTAAAACTTTAATAAACAAGACATATATGTTAAATAAACTTAATGGAATATTCTCAGTTACAGATTATTTTATAGAAAAATTAGAAAATTAAGGCACTCAATATTTGTGTATTTTTTTGTTGACTTTCCTGTGCTTGATTTCCTTGTGAGAACATACTAACTTCATGTGCACATATTGGTTCTTGGTTTGCTGTGGGCAAGCAGCGTAAGAATGTTGTCATCAATCCATTATATTTGTTGGCTGTAAGTCATATGTATACTGGTTTACTGTAAATAGCTATTTTAAAAATCACATGTTTCTCTTAAATGTATTCAAGTTTTTTTAAAATCTGAATAGTAGATTTTTTTTTTTTACATTGTACCAATTCTAGCAAAACCAAATTACACACTTTTTTTAAACTGGACAAAGCCAAAATAGTCCCCAAATAATCAGTTTAAATAAATTATATCTGATCAGTCTTGTCTGTTTATGGTCAATTTGGTTAAAAAATTCTAGCTTAACTGCTGGCAAAAAGAACCATTTTTTCATAGCAGTGTCATAGGCCAGTGCTGAGTTAAATTTTATTAAAATTTTTCCACCATTTATTCACCTTGACATGTTTGGTGTCATCTGGTTGGATCATATTTAATTATATTTAATAAATACAATCAGTAGATCTAATGGCTAATGGGTTCTGAGGTCTATCTCCAATTTTGGCCTTTTTTTCCCCTTTTAAATTTGTTGTTTAACAAGAATGAACAGTAAATAATTTAAATATGCAGGCTCGTTGTTAACAATTTAACTCAGCACTGGCCTGTGATCCTGCAATGAAAAAATGATTCCTGTTGCCAGCAGTTAAACTAGAATTTTTTTAGAAGTGGATCTACACAATGTACTGTCGGACATTGTGCAGAAGTTAATCATCTACTAGGCACTTACTGGATGAAAAACTTTGATGACTAAATTAAATAATGGCTTTGTTTTTCATGTTCAGTTGCAACCCCAATAAGTAGATGATCTTTTGAAAGGTTCAACCATTCAATTGAAAGCTGCAAGGTAGTTTTAAAAAAATAATTATTTTTAATATACTAACGGATGTGTAAAATGTATAGGCCTACAAATGCACTAAGTTAATGTCGATAGTTTAAAATGTTAAGGCTTACATATGCACTAAGTCAAAGTAATAATCAAAATCAAGAAGATCAAGTGATGTTTAGATAGTTCTAGCAGTCAATGATAAACTATTATCTCATTAGACAGCTCCTAAACTAACCAATGAGCCTCAAATAAAGATGAACTAATTAAGTTTTAACATTTTTAATCTATAATTTTATTTTATTTTTTGAAACTTAAAAAAACCAAATAAATGCATTTTAAAAAAATGGACCCTTCACAATGTTTATTTCCAGTTGCACTTCTATGAAATTGAAGTCTTAATGCTTCATTGATGGCAAATGAACTAGGACAAATGGAAGATTCAGCAGGCAATATATCTATATAAATATATTTATGATACTTTGTTCTTAGAATCGTTCAGCTTGTCTCACCTGTGAAGATAGCAATTTCGGTGGTACTTAAAAAAATGTGAAAACATAATGGAAAATGTCACCTAAGTTGAATGCACATGAATGAGGAAATAAGTGATTATACAGTTTAGTTGCCTTCTTAAATAATGATAATAATAATAAACATATCCTTGTGTTGAATTTGAGATGACTTGTTGCCAGGTCTTACTTTTTCCTTCATGTGTTTTCCCATAAGCTTTGTATGATTTTTTTTTATATATATATATACACAAGAAGTAAAAAGCGTGTACATTAATGTCAACAATGTTCTTTAAAATGTATTAAAAATGTTTAATTTTGGGGGAAATCTTCTTTAAAAAAAATAATAATAATAAAGAGTCAGCCTGGCAACACTACAATTTACTTTCTTCAATTAAATTTATGTGATGTAGAAACTTTCCCCAGGCCCCAATAGGCTACTGATTTATTAGTGCTATATGTTTTGTAAATAAACTCAGACCTGCCATTCCACACAAAATATGACTGTTAGTATTCTATATCTCTTCCTTTGCAAAGTTTGCTTTATGCCATTAAACTTGATGGCATCATTAGCTTATACAGCAGTACATCGCAATAATGGCGTTATTGGGTTGGGACCCTCGCCATTTGATAAATTCAAGCTTTTTTTGTGCCCAGCAACTGCCCTAAAGCAAAATTATGTACTATATAACTAATATAAATTGAGTGTCCAATAACACTATCTGTAAAACTATAATAGAAAGGAAAATGTACACAATGTTTACCTTTAAATAAATATTTAGTACTTGCAATACATGATTTACAACTTTAAAAGAAATGGAAATGTGAAATTTTAAATACAAATATTTTAATTTTGAGGATCACTGACTGAGATTTAAGAGCGCCGTTATTGCAAAACGCTGTTAAGCTGTGTAGCTGTTATTGCCAGGTGCGACTAAAATT